TGATATTGTCAAAAAAATATCCGATAAATATGTAAGTATCTTTTATATGCATTAAATAAAACACATCTCATTATAGTTAACTGTCAACTAAATAAAGGGTGTGCATTTCGGTAGAAGGCGTCAGAAAAGCTGAATAAATATGGCCGGCCTGACATAAAAAAAAAAAAACAAAAACCACCTTTTCATGTATTTTGTTGCGGTTATATGTCGTAGTATGTTACAGTCTTATATCAAATTATCGTTCATGCAACATCGAAAACTATAAAACTCAAGGCTGTATACTTTGAACAAAATTAATTGTCATCGAAAAAGTTGACGTACAAAATTTGCATATAACTTTATGTTATTGTATCAACTTCAAGCCTTCTTAAAATTCATCATAACTCTCATTATGTATATATTTTAAACAAATAGCAACCTTTTACAAAAATTACTTTTAGTTTTATGAAATTAAAAAGCAAAACCAGATGGCAACGTTTCAACTTTTTCTTATTTCAACCCATCCGAATATAGCAGCGAACAATCGTAGGAAAATATATTGAAATTTCTTCAGTCTTTGAACTTAAATATCAAAACATAAAAAACTTTATTTAAGAATATAGTGGCAATAAAACGCAAAACGAATATGCTCTGCTAACAGAAACACTCTGAGAATAAAAATATTTGAGTAATTTAAAAAGTGTAATTAGCGCTATGAAAATCTCTCTCTAATACTCTCTCTCTCTTGACTAAGCTATATCAATATTTGCTTTTATAAAAGTTTGCTCTGTTTGTGATGTTCAAATGCTGTTGAAATGTTAGCTTAGTATAGTAGTAGACTTTCCACATTTTATGGTTTTATGGCTATATATGTGTGTGTAGTGTGGGCAAATTTTAGTAAACACACCACAATGCTCAAAGCGCTACAACTTCATAAGCATTAATCGATAATCTAATAGTTGCTTTTTTAACACAACCTTTGAGACCTCATCACACTATTTGTCTTTGCATTATTTACCAGTTCATTTCCATTATGACTGCACGTATGTGTGCTTAGGTATATGCACTTGTAATTACCACCGCGTTCGCCTTGAGTGTTTATTAATACAAAATGACAACATTTCGTATATAAATGTGTGTGTGTGAACAAAGCAAATTTAATCATAAAAATTGCAATTTAATTCGCAGCACAGTTTTGGGTGGCATTTCATGAACGGAGTGAAGCGTTATATATAAATTTATATAGTATGTTTATTTGTTGTTGATTTTTGGCTACAAAATTCCATTTTCTTTTTCAACTTTTTTTCTTCGTTTTCTTTTCGCTTCGTTTTACGAGAACTTCGCATAAGCTTTTTCATTTTTTGTTGACTAATGTTATGTTATTTTCTTACTCTTCCTCTTCCATTAATCTTAAGAAAGTGGCGTGCTTGAAATGACAATCGCGATGCGTTTCAATAGAAGGCGCACGGCTACATTTGTTTACAATAAGTTACGTATACGTCATGGCTAACCAATGGAAGCGACTGGGTTGCCACGTGCTGACCGTCAGCATTATGTGTATCGAATAAATCAAGGCTGTTGCAAATTAAAGCATTCATCACAAGCTGCGCACCAGCGTCTACACAGCATATGAAGCCCGTTGCCACTGCACAGCATAAGCTATATGGCCGTGAGTTGGGTGTGTGTGGCTTTGATAGAGTAGGAAGTGGTATACTTTTAGCATGGGGCTATATATTTTTAACCATATCGATTTTATTTCGTATCAAATTTATTGATTATCTCCTCCATGAAATTGCGCGTTCATGGACCCAGACTCAAATTAACTGCGCTCATGCCAAGCTGTGCGCATAGGTATAGGCACAATTGATGGAGCTCTATACATGTATATTTGTTGCTTGGCTAACAAAATCACATAAAATATGAGTTTAATGAGCTGCGAGGCGACTAAGGATGCTGTTTACTCACGTATACAAATTCGCAGCCTTATGTATATATGTAAAATAGTGTGTATGTGAATGATGTGCACCGCTTGTGTGGCTGGTAAGCATATGCTTCCCAACATAAATGCAAAGACAGCAAAATGTATGCGCTAGTAGATGCGAGTGTGTGTATTAAGGGTTAAAATTTTGCCTTTTCACTAAAATATATGGCGTATAAAATTTTGATTTTCATATAAAGCGAGCAAATGATGAGTATGGCAGATTTAGAGACACCTTGGTAGATTTCAAAATTTTTTTTAAAATGTGTTATTATTTCTCTGCACTGTGTCACGTTTTTATTAAAAGACAGGGTAACAATAATCGTAAATTTTAAAAAAATTATTATCTTCTTCAAATTAAAAATTTTTGGAGGTAATTTTGTAGACAAATGTACAAGAAATTATTATGAAAATCGGATATAATAATTATAAAGGTTCCTTACAAGAACTTTAATCGGTCAGTTTGTATGGCAGCTATATGCTATAGTTATCCCATCTGAACAATTTCTTCGAAAATTCATCATTGCTTTAAATAATAATGCATGCCAAATTTCTTGAAGATATCTTGTCAAATACAAAAGCTTTCCATACTACAAATGCGCAGCTTCATGGTGAGAAATGGATTGAGATCGATATTTTGAAAACTAAGGACGAACATACAGATGAACAAACAGAGAGACGGTCATCACTAAATCGACTCAGCTCGTCACGTTGATCATTTATATAGTAAAGTGTGATCCATTTCGAGATTCTCTGCATGTTTTAAGAAAACTACAAAGAAAATCCAAACAGTCGGTTATCATCACGCAATGATATCACCGGCATCATTCTTGAATTTCTTCTGGTTGCTCTTCGTCCAAAATGTGGCAATTTGCTCAACAAAATCATTACTGAACAAAATTTCGTTGAAAATGTCGGATCTTCTTGGATTCTTTGCAGAACGTGAATTTTCGTAAAAAACGATTGAAAAAAGTAACTCTACTTGGATCATCCTTTATATATTTTATGGGGGCTATGGCGTTTCCTTTTGTGTTACAAACATTTATGGCAAATTTAGTATACTCTGTTTAGGGTATAGTATTTTCCCCTTTCAGAATTGCGTAAGCAGATGACTAATAACAATCGTCAATATATTAAACGCTTTTTAATACTTTCGAATATATTTCTGAATGTATTAGACCACCCTAATACAAGAGGATATGTGGTACATATAACACAATGATGCGCACTCTTTTATATGCTGAGTAGGCAAGCACAGCACCAAAGCCCGAAAATAATTTTTCCATATCTTCCTTTTTCTGCTTGTTTTTCCTTGCACAAATGTGCGTCCCAACGCCCCAATCGATGTCTGTATTTGTATTTAAAATTTTCCGGTGCGTTAAGCCATGTGTACGAAGCAATAACCTTACATTAGCTTTTGCACTGTCTAAACAACAATAATGAAAACGAAATATTATAGATAAACAAGCTTGCTATACTCCATCAACACATGTATGATACAGTTGAAGGCATACATATAACTCTATGCAACAAATAGGACAACAAGAATTCTTGCATATACGCAGATTTTCGTTTTTACTCAATTATCCCCACTTTTATCTCTTTAGGTACATACACACAAATATACTAAAGTTGCAATAAAATTTACCTTTAGCACTCGGATATATTTCGGGTTCACCATTACAAGGTCAGCAGTTTTCATAGCATCTAAGTGGCGGCTATTTAAGGCATTAGCAAAAGTCCGTTTATCATTCAGCGTTTTTTAATATAATAACCAAATTGTTCTATAAAGAGTCCTTTATGTCATGTCTTATCCCTAGTTTCTCTTTAGCAGTTTCTGTTGCTTTTGTATGATCACGTTTGAATTAAGATTTTGATGTGGTTTCCCGAAATTCTTTGTGTCTTTGTGTATGTGGGGTTCAACGTAGAAAGGTGGAAATTTTTATTTGAGCAGAGCACTCGTTAAAAATTTGAAGTTAATGAAGATTTGATTAGAAAACACAACATTCTCAAGTATTCCACTCAAAGACGCAGAGACTTAAAAGATGAAACAACAATTAGAATAAGCACAAGAAACAAGCGGTAGCACAGACATTGGCTGAGGCAGGAAAGTTGGAAAAATCTCAAGGTACGGCAGACTCAAATAAATAATTAAAATGCACAACATGGTGAACTGAAGTTGTATGGCCAAAGAGAATTGAATTGCGTTGTAGGGGAGATAATAGCAGCCGAATATTAAAATGAAAAAGACTTTTCTGTGACATAATTCCACAAGAGTTGTTAACAAAAACTTCTACTTTTAGGTGGTTTAAAGAGTTCTAAATATACTCTTCAATCATAGTTACTTTGTTTTTCGCTTGGTTCTCCGAAAAATTGGTTTTCAGACACTACTAAGAAATTCTATAGTTCTCTATTTTTTTTATTATCAGATAGAATAATTCAATATCTATCAACCAATTTTTTACAGTACCAAGAAAAAAAAAAGCATACATTGTTTTGACCCACCGTCATACAAGTATATAACCACATCAGCAAATAATTTATACATTGTTCGTACTAATAAAAGTCTTAGCCTTAAACAGATCAAAAGTTAAAAAAAAAATTTGCACTTAGCCACTTCTCTGTACCATTGTGAAAAGCTTTTTTTTTTGGTATAATTAGAAAAATTTTAATTTAAAAAAACATGTATTTAGAAATTATTATTATAGAAATTAAAAACAAAAATTTGCACCTAAAATTCGAATGATAATTGAAATATTTAAACTGACTTTTGCCACATGATTTGTGCCTACAAGTCATACTAACTAGTTATTAATTTCAAATTGGCATTTCATCATTTGCCTCTGCTTATAAGCTCTACAGCGAGCCCACACTTACGAGATGGGAACGATGTGCATCGCACGTCAGCACTCAACTTCAGTACGCATTCATTCTGTTTACATTCCATTTGCTTTTAGCAATCAATTAGCGCTAAGCGCTTACTTCCGGTGCAATAAAATTTCTAACAGCGGATGCAGCTACTTTATATACTTTATTCACTTACCCGCATAACACGCTGGAGGATGTTGCTTCCAAAGTCAGTTGCATAATTCGAGCTTGAAGGATTGTTATTCTATTAATTTTTCTGCTTTTTCATCCGTTTTTCTCACAAGCAATAAATTCTGAATATACTGCTGATTTCCACATCCGCTTTCCAGCTTGTTGTTGTTGTGCACTGTGTGATTGGCTCTATTTGTCTGGCTCACTTGTTGGCGCGCTCGAACATCAGCTGCTTACTGCGAAATCGGATACAAATTCCGCGCAACGGCCGCACATACACATACACACACTTTCACGAACGCGCTCACATAGACAAGCCACAAAAGCATGAACACTTATGTCAGCTGTTGGTTGTTGTTATTTGTTACAGCTGTGTGCAGTCGCTCTATTGCAGACACGTGTTTGCCGCCACGTCGCGCTGATTGCCACCGCCACACAGCCGATGCACCGTGTCACGAAGCGAGCACAGCACATACACACGTACACTAACACAATTGATGATTTTTTAATGGCGAAAGAATACAATGTAATTCGATTGAAATTCAAATTGGAAATTAATTGCAGTCAATTTGTTTGTCGACGAAATTCAGTTAATAAAAACAAGTCACAGTCTGAGTAACTGGAATATTTATAAGAGAGACTTTCTTTACTTTGAAATATATTTCAGCTGTTATAAAATGTGAGTAATGTGGTTTAGTAAACAATAATTTTGAGGTATTTTTGTTTTGTTTTTGAAAATCCATTTGCTGGTTCGATTAACGCCGATAACCGGTTGGCTTTAATTACAAAAACGAAAAAAAATAATAATAATTTACTTCAATTATATTCATGTCATATCTACTTGTAAGTATCGCATACAAATATTTTAAAATCTATTTAGTACATAATTTCGAGATAGGTAAATATTTGTTATTTCATTTCACAATTGGTATACGGTAAAAACTTAAAAGACTACCAAATTTGGTAACAGTTATGTAACTTTAATCCTATTGGCATCAAAGTATTAACTTTGGTCAATTAATTTTAATATTTTAATTGATTCTTACAAGAATCTCTTAAGGTGTTAGGCAAGTCTAGGACCACTAAAATTTTTTGTTTAAGGGGTTACTTCAAACAATCGATTTTTTTAATTGTCTTTTTAGTTATATTACATCTCTAGAATATTGTTGTAAATGCTGCAGTTGATCCGAATAATAGTTTTGGAAATACAGCTTGAAAAGTTGCGCGCTCGAGTTTGGCCACATAAAACTTGATACGCGTTTTTTTCGTAACTGTTTTTGAGTCGGTTGTCAAGATTTCACGCGATTTACTAAACCGATCCTAATGAAATTTTACACAGGTCCTCGAGATATGATTTACAAGGCCTTGAACGTAATATTTTTTTGTTCAATTACAAGTATTTAAAAAAACAAAAAAACGTTGAGAAATTTTCACAAAAACTTCCTCAACTTTGCTGAATGTTATTAAGATAGATTGCAAATAAAAAAACTAAATAAAAATATTTTATATGAAAAAACAATTATTGAAAATTTGTCATATTTTGCTCGATGAATCCCATGTAACCCCTTAACTACACTTAGGGTGATAAATGTTTTTCCTACTCAGTAGACTAGCGAAAGCACAATTGTTCCTTGTCCAATCTACTGTAGTGTTGTAGCGTTTTGGTCAGTTTAATTTAGCAAGCAAAACTTTAAAACGTTTTTCGCGAAGCTGTACCAAATTTTTGGAATCGCTCGGCTCCGCGTAAAATTTTTACTTTACTTTTACATTGACATTTCTGGTAAATTTAATGCAACTATTTTTAAAAGCGTGCTCATTTTTATGGTAAAAATTTAACATATTTTTACAAGTCCGCCAATTTTGGAAAAATAATTTCATATGACGATTAAATAAAATGTATCGTGTAAAACAATAAACCAGATATATGAAAAGTTAAAGACTTTTGTAGACATTGTACAAGTATTTCCAACGAAAGTAGTTTTTCTTGGTACTGGATAGTCAGTCCTTGTGCAATTCCTACCTTGGGAATCAGCCATAGAACCTAGCCTAAATGCATTTTATATAATTCAATGTTCATACAATTTTATATCAACAATTATTACTTGAACAAATGCGAAAATTTTATTATAATTTTATATGCGAAAAGTTGGAAAAAGTAGTAACCATTTTTTTTTTTTACAAATATCGTGGTGAATTGGAGTAAATTTTTTTTCCTCTCCCGGCGCGCTGTCTGTGTCTTCCGCCGATATTAAAAGAAAGACATGTTGAGTTACAGCCTTCTAAAATCTTGACGCTCAGTGCTGGCTGAACTGAAGACTGCAAATCAAAAACTACAATATTTAAGATTAGTTTTTAAACGCGTTTTTCTTAAAACTACATTTTTCAAATTTGCTAGACTAATTAGTCAGAAACAAATTATTCGATCACTGTAAACAATTTTCTGTAGATTCTGTATATAATATTCTACACAATGGCCTAATGGTTTTGGGAGGCCAAATTTTTGCGTAAAAAGCAATTTTTTTAGAGCGCCACAACTTTGTCAATGTTTGATATTTTTAACGTTTATTCATGTATCATTTACGGGCAATATCTTATAATATAAATTTTACGTATTTTCATACGGTTAAGAATGCAGCAGTCGAGGACTTTGGTTTTGTAGCGCGCCGTCGGAGATCACGCTGATTTCAAAAAATTAAAAGATTTTGTATTTAAAAAAATCCAAAGTAGTAATTATTATACTTCTATTCTGATACTTTACATTCTCGTTATAGTATCATCCTCAATAATTTTTATTTTATAACATGGACTGTATTACAGAACCAGCCCGTTGATGATAACGAAAGGAAGCAAATATTATATTAAAAAAAATAAAATTATATTAGGTGTATACAAAAACTTCTTGAAGTTTAAAATTGTTCATAATTTGGAAATAATATTTAATAAAAATTATTTTTATTTCAAGTCCTCCTTTTTCTGATTAACTAAATTTGCAACTAAGAGATCCAAATAAATTTCAAACTATTTAAAGATAATATATAAAGAATTCTTCAACCAGTGTTGTTTTTGGCTGTTTTTCAGTAAAAATTTTATTTTTAAACTTTTCTTTGCATTTAAAATAAAAATTTATAATTTTTTAGATTTTTTTAATCTTTTAAAAATATGTCATTTAATCCATAAAACCAATATTATTGTTCGCCGGAATATTTTATTTATATATGTTTGTATAATTTTTTGATTATGTTATATATTTTTTTTAAATATTTATTTTGTTAAAAATACATAATCGTAAATTATATTAAAAAATTTTTTAAATCACTCATTAATTTAACGTCAATGCTGTTACACGAACCGCGCGCACTCTCTCGCTAGCGAGCACTATTAAGGGCGTTTGCTTTGCTATTTTAAGACTTAATGCATTTTTATAACTTGACCAACCATATACATTTCAAAGTTAACCACTCTTGCTTTTTTTTGTAAGTGTTTTTTCACCAAAGCTAAATCACATCAAGAGCGCAGCAGAAGCGGACACGTGCGTACAGCCCAACGGACTAACGTGGACTGTTTAAGCTGCTAGCGCCTAAAGGACACCTTTGCTGTGGATACCGAAAGACCCAACCAGCTGCCGCGCTGCCACGAAAGATCGGACTGTGCAAAGATTGCGCGCAACTGTTGGCTCTTGACTGCTGCCACTGCAGACCAAGGCTTTCTTCTGCAATTTCACACTGTGTGTGTGCACTATGTTGCCTACGTCAGCTAATATCGTAAACGTGATTTGTAAGTTTGAAAACGCAAAGCGCAAGCGCTCAATATGCGCCTTCGGCAGCCGAGCTTATATACATTTGTATGTGCGTCTCTTGCTTCAGGATGCTTAACGTTCATTTCGAAAATGCTGCCGACAATATTTTGATTGTGTACGCACGTGTTCTGTTGATGGCTAAATTATTATTGTTGTTGTTTTTGTTATTGCAACACTCGCTTGTTGTTGAAAGTAAGCAGACAGTGTGATTTTCTTTGTGTGTGTGCCTGTTTATCTGTGTCTCTCAATAAATGCAACTCTCTCAGCATTACCTTAGCTTTTCATGCAAACACATACATATGCATACATATATTCATACGCATATGTACATAAATATTGCAAGCGCTAATTGTTACTCTTCCATGCTGCATCTTTCGCCTGGCGTGGCGTTAGCGGCATATGCTATTCCCATTGCGTTGTTTTTGTTGTTGTTGTTACGTATCCCGTGCAAAAAGAATTCAGACAACAGTTGTTGGTATTTTTCTCCCACAAGCGATTTGTGATTGTTGCTTTCGCAATCACTTGTCTGTACTTGTTTACACACATTCGAATAACTGACTGTATATGTATATCTACATACATATGTGTGCACTTAAGTAGTTGTTTTGCCGCTCTTGTAAATTGTTGCAACTTGATTGTGCTAGTTGCGTAAATTCAAATGTTGCGCCTGACAATGTGCGCATTGCATGCCTCGTACGAAGGAAATCTGCAAAACCACTGCGCTGCCCGCGGGTGTGCAGACTTCCTTTGCATTGCTTTATTTAGCCTTCAAATTACGGGGCGCGCTCATACACAGGTGTGCATGTACAAATGTGTTTCCATTTTCAAACTGCTGTGTGCAACAATTGGCAAATCGATAAGCGTGATTGCACCGATGCCTTGTCAGTCAGGTGTGCTGACAATAGCAAAAACAAAAGAGATTTGCTTTACCATGACACAGGCTGGTAACACATACGACAGTAGCTCGAGAAGAGCGAAAGCCAAAATATATACAAAAAATTTTCGAGCGAAGCTACTATGGGTCTCCTTAAGAGGTAGGCTAAGGGGATCGCTCAAAAAGGCTTAATTTATATAATATTGTCTGGAAGTCCTGAAAGAGAAATCGAATTTCTTTGCTTAGAACTTTGTGAAATGTCTACTTAAGGGAAAAAAAAAATTTTAATTGAAATTTGGATATAAAATGGCGCTTACCTGGACCGGTTTTCGGAATCACCTTTTTCAAGAGGGTTCTTCCGAGCGACTAATAATAAAAACCAAAAAACAAAAGCTGCTTCGAGAGAAAGGCGTTTAAAATTTTACATGCGTTGACTGACCAGAACGCTTTGCAACTACGGCGTATTACCGAAGGCAAATACCCTTTCCATATTCTGCAAATTAAATAATGTTTGGGGATTTATGTAACAAATTTGGTCGATGTCGGTTGAGTTGGTCCAGAGATATGGGTTTTCAATTTTATGTCTCTGACGTACTTATTTATTGATATATCTGACTTTTAGTAGTTTTTAACAGTACCGTTAAATATTGAATGGACAGGGTTATCATCCGATTTCATCCATTTTCACGGTGTTGGTAATGGTGCTAAAGGGGTTTATTATTATCATTTGGTTATTGTAGCTTTAGAAGGTTAGGAGATATATATATTAAAGCTATTAGAAAGCGAGGCTATGCCCATTTATTCAATATTTTTAGACCACAGGTGTCTCTTGCTACTGTGATCCTCTGTGCCAAATTACAGTTTTATATCTTAATTTAGTGCTTAGTTATGGCACTTTATAGATTTTCGTTTAATTACGTTTACTGGGCGTGGTACTGGTCCGATTTTACTAAAGTTACAGCTGGCTGACAGGAAAAACCATCGGGCATACAAAACTATTATACTCGATAGCAGCATGTTACAGGGATATTAAAAATATACTTTTAGACTTTGTAGGAATAGTAGAACTAAGCAGTCTATCTCTAAGTCTACCCTCATTGTCCGTAGTGTTTCCTAATGTCGTAAAAGCCATTCGTTACCGTTTTCCGTTTCCTTCTGCTTTTTTTATTTTCTTCACTGTTGCGGTTAACTTTTTTTTCTCTTCGTTGAGTGTCGTATGATTGCCGTACTTTAATTGCCCCCTACTGCATTATTCTAGTTTATTTTTCATTTCATATTAATTTAGTAGATATCATACATCGAGCCACTGGCACCGCATGTAACGGTTAAGTGCCTGCCATTTCTTGTACTTACCCACAACCACACACACAAACAAATAAGCATTCAAATGCTCAAGTGCTTGTAATTAAAGGATTATTGCGAAGCCAAGAACACTTTACGCTTCAGGTGTGTTTTCCACAGCAAAACTAGTTTATACATGTGTGTGGGTGTGTGCATATATACATTATTGAAGGCGAAGTTGTGGCATCCTTCTTACAAAGCATGACGTATTATAAAACGTATGATACTACCTTGAGAAAATGAAAAACTAACACATTTACTGAAGCAAAAACGATGGAATTCATTTTGTATTCTAGAAAACTTTACATTATATTAAGGCTGCTACATTTATTTTAGGCTTATAATATATTTATTGAGTTTTAAGAATGCTAATAAGACTTATTTAAGTAAGTCATTTAAAGAAAATTGTCAGACATCGATTCAAGTGCAAGTAAGGAAGCGTTAAGTTCGGGTGTAATCAAACATTTTATACTCTCGCAAGTTGCAAGGATCAAAAACGGCGAAACATCAACTTCAAATGATTTAAACTCAATCGAAGAGGCTAAATTCAATATATTGAGTTGATGTGACAAACATCAACAAAAGGATCGGAACCTATTATATTAGGGACATGAAGTTTGGAGCGACACCAATTTCATCAAAATAGCTCAAATTTTGACTAATCTAGACGATTTAAAGTCAGGTGGAAAGCAAGCAATAATTATATAGGGTGTGAGTAATGGATGGGCTGATAACATTAATTTTTGACAGCTATACTTGAGAACTTATTTTCAAGCAATTTTATAAATATAAACATATACATATATGAGTACGGAGTAAAGTCAGCCGGAGGTTTCAAAATTTTTAATATCAGGTTTATGGGGGCTAAGGCAAGTTTTCGCCTGATTTCATCCATTTTAAGCATAAAGATGCACCGTAATTAGAAAAGCACGCATTCTTTGGGCCAATTTTGATTCGTATATAGTCATTGGTGCTTAATTTGTGTACTGGAAAGTGAAAGAATCATATCGAATTTAAAAGTGCGCTACCTGGGAAGTAGTCATGGTTGTAGTTCAATTGCTCTCATTTTCACAATGTAAATCTTCAGAATAATCTTATGTGCCGAATTTGGCAGCATGAGTAACAGTTGAGATACAGTAACTTCAACGTTGCATTTAACAGTTTTGAACCTTGAAATGCAGCACTTGTGTTTTTTACGAACAGCATAAATTTTTAAAGTTTTTTGTTATGCAGCCGCCACTCGCTGCTGGCCTTTATGACGCTTGCTAAGTCTCGAGCTGAAATAATTTTTTCTATGATTCCTTGTTTTTATGCTCTTGCAACAAGTTGCTACAGAGCATAATACTTTTGTTCACCTAACAGTTGTTTGTATCACCTAAAATATTATATATAAATGATTTGGTGAGGAGACGAGTTGAAATCCGGGTTACTGTTTGTCTGTCCGTCTCTCCGTGATAGCTGTTACTGGAGTAAAAAGTAATAGATATATTAATGAAACTTCTTACACATGTTCCTTGGCACCATAAGAAGTTTGATAAAGTAAATGGGCGTAATCGGACCACATCCACGCTCACAAAGTCTCATTAATCGAAAATGTATAAACTGCCACAACTAAGCTCCGCAATAAGATAGAATTCTGTTATTTAACACAACGAATTGCCTTGGGAAAGGGTATATACGGTAGCAATTCCTTTTAAGTGGGCGTAGCCCTACACTAATCAGTTTAATGTATCTCCTAAACCATTCCAGCTATATAATCCAAATTTGTACAGTGTAAATATTTTTGTCTCTTCCTTCGACAGCATCAAAATAGATGAAATCGGATGATATTCCCACCTGCTCCCCATTTAACGGTTTTGTTTATAACTACTACTGCGATAAACCTATAAATAAATGCGTAATAATATTTTCTTGTGTTAAAAATGAGTTGAATCGCTACATTTTTGAATAAAAAGTTTTTCCAACACCTGAAGATATTTCCCGAACTTAGTTCTTTCTTACTTGTTTATATAATATATAGTATATACGTTATTTTATTATCTCAACTGACCGAAGCAAATTCGAAAGTGTTATTGTTGCAACTAGCGGTGGTAAGTAAACTTATTATGATTTAAAATAAAATGTAAAAAAATTGATTACTGTGGTCTTAAGAGGAAAATCCCTGAATCAACATGCGGACTGCGAATTAAAGGGAGCACCTAACGTGATTGACTTATGTAGGTCTTTATATATCTGCTGCTCTTCGTGTACAAATTACATACAAAAGTTTAAGCGATTCTGCGGTAAATTTCAAAGAAATAAAAATAAAATGGATTTTGTGCATCTCAATTTATAATGACGCTTTAAATATACTAGTAAAATACTAAATATGCATATCGAAACACAAGCAAGCTCCTATAATGTAGCAGTACTCATACGCCCTGTAGAACGCATCCAACGTACAATTGAAGTTATAACAAAATTATGTGCTCTTAAGTCACAGGTGTTGCCAATTGACTGGATGAGAAGACTATAAAAAAGCCAGCATGAAAATACACATACAAAGTTGGGGTGTCTTAAATCGCCGGTAATGCATCATTTAACATCACGTATGTATGTATGTATTTATTGTATGTTCCGAAAAGTAACCGCCAGACAGACGGATATTGGCAAATCGCATGCCAAACTTGCT